CACACACATGACCTTGGGTGCATGTGAGAGGATGACAAGCGATGATACATAAAAAAGCAACAGAAAGCGAAACGAGGACAGGATAAAAATGCCCGTTGCAGGAATGACACGAGCATTGTGTTAGGCTGGCTAACTGTGCGAATTGCTAGTTGTCGTAGTGCTGTTCATACACGGTTTTCGCGACCGATCACACGGGTTCGTGTTCGCGTGTGCATGCTTCGGGCTCGGATGATGCTCGAACTCTTCCGGAGTGTGTCGTCGGAGTTGGTTATCCGGTGTTCGATACAGTCGAGCCAGACCATGAACAAATTCGGACAGGTGTTTGTTGCCATTGTACTCACGAATAAGATCGTGACACCTGAAATGAGGGAGCGGGGCGAAAATAACGTCATTCACACACACACACACACACACACACACACACACACACACTTATTATTGACGTTCATGAAAGTCAGCGGACCGAGACTGGTAAAAGCGGATCGGGCTATGTAAAATGATGAATTTACTTCGGTCCAGAGTAGCTCATCTTTTTCTTCTTTTGATTTTTAATTCGTATAATTGAATGCAGCGATAAAATTCTCCGGAAGGGGAGACGGTCCATCAAAGGGCTGCCACACAACATAGAATAGGGTAAGGCAAGTGGTTGTGGTGGGACTCGAACACGCGTGCTCCGGGATGATAATTTGGTGACGTAACCCCCGGGCCACCACCACCCTTGCCCAAGAAACAAGAAAACCTCACGAAATTCAGTTTAGGTCGAGGAAATAAATTTAGTGAAAAAGAGATGGCAGCATAGTCGGATTGTACAGAAATTCGCCATATGTCGTCATGTGCATACGGCATTTTACATGACACAGCTTTACAACATATGAATGGAATTATTGGTAATCAGTTTGGCCAAACTTCACCGTTGTCTGGGATCCTATCAACCACTGATGAATTCACGTTTACTGCAAGTTGCTGAGGCAATCGCGATGCAAGGATGGAAGGCTAGTTTGTGACAACAACAGAAAAACTATTCGTATCCCTGGCAACACCACGTCTGTCGTAACTTTATAAAAAGCAAACTTGTATATCTCCATGAAAGATGCCACATCGCTGATTATGAAATACTTGCAAATAAACAGCCAAGCTTGGTGAACGATGGCGCGGTGGGTCTTTGGCAGGCGTACCGATCTTTAGATAAAACAATACAAGATTCTGACAAATTTACTGCACTGTATACTTTCAACCTTCTTGTTTTCCTTCTGTTGTTCACCCAAATGGGCAGCCAAAAGAGACACACAGAAATGCATGCTTAATAGTTGTTTAAACAGAACTCAACTGATAAGAAAGATATCGGTCGAAACAGCCGGTCCAATCTCGAAAAAGAGGTCGAGGAAGCCATACAGAAGAAAGTTACACAAAAGTAAAACGAAATTGGCTGTTATACGGAAATCGCACGGGATATATCACAACTAAAGATATTCGAGGCATATTTGAGGCAGACAGGTTTTATAATACACACACATTGGTTTAGGAAGAAAAACGCGTGGTTTGCAAAAATTGTACATAACTGGATATCCTACTGCTAACCATACGAACGAATAACAATTTTAAGGGATCTGAGAAAGAAATTTAAAATCTAGGAATTAGACCAAAAAGATGATGCAAATGAGGGACAAACGCATGTCCCCATCATGTTATTTCCTGGGCGACTAAATGTCCATCTATAACACCTGACCGCTATTCGCATTGGATTCAGCGCGTCGATGCCTACACGCACGCGCAGAACGCAGTGACCAGGTGCATGTTCATTTCAACAACACGGATCGGCTTGAATTGCCCTGCACAAGCCAAAATAAAAGTTTACACCTTCGAACATGGGACTATTTGTGTATGTCAGAATCGATATTGAAAAAGGGTGTCCACTGAGTTTAGAGATACAGGTGATATGCTTAGATGGATAGTGAGCAAATGAAAGAAGGTATAATAACTTTCTGAGATCAAAACTGATAGAAATGTGATAGAAATCGCTGCGGTGACCGGGAAAGAGCACTGTATAGCTGCTTTGGCCTGTTTGGGACTGTTCAGCAGTGTGCATTGCTTTCGACCTTGTCCGGACTCGAACCGCAAACCTTCGAGTTGGGAGCAAAAACTGATATAACCTGAGTCCGCTTTAAAACAAAATCACCGTGAAGGACAGAAGCATATTGAATGATGGGATTCATCAAAAAACAGACACAGGGACACGTACGAGTATTACTGTATTGGATATCGAACATTACGGAACAAAGGAAACTTACGCAGCTCAAAGGGTTAACGGATACATTATTGGATCGTACAGATTATTGGAGACAGACAACTCGAAGGAGCACCGAAATGGTAAGTGAATGGCAGACCGCGATTAGGCATACTAGTGAATACGGACATTATTGAAGACAAAAAAGAGGTGAATGGGTTGAATAGTACTACTATTAATACTAATAATAATATTACTACTTATATTCCCAACACTACTACTACTGTCTTGAAATATCCCCGTAGATCATTGAAAAGACCAGTGAAGCGAAGAATTCTTTTCGATTACTCATTCTCAAGCTTCTACATTAATATATGATCACAAGGTGGCAACAAAATTCATGATTTACAAAATAAACCGGGGTGGGGGAAGGGGGTTACAGGGTTGTAATCACTCGTCTAAGCATATTACGTAACACGGTCATTCAGTCATCGCTTGATTTTCTGAACAAAGATCAATTACGTCATATTGTCGGGCCATGGCATACTCAATACGTGGACGATCCGTTTTTGTTTGCACAGTTCGCTACCGCCTCGGCTGCGCAAAGCATAATCTGCCGCAATTGTTTGGTCAGATTAATTGGGGTTCTGTAAATGACCTTTCAACATCTACCGCATGCCCCGTGTTGGTAAGATATTCCACAATTGAGCTACGAATGGCCTTTGATAGTCCTTTCCTCAGCCAGGCCGGGTGATGCTCTTGAATCCGTTTAGTCAACTGCAGACTGGTACGACCGATATAGCTGGCTCCATAGGAGCAAGTGAATTGATAGACACAGAAATGGTGGGCCACTGCTACTATTACGAATAAAAATAGCACCAATATTGGCCACTGTAAGAGGAACATGAGAAATAAAAATAATAGCATTCATAATAAAAACAAACTTACCGGGATTCCAATTCGGCCAAGGCCTCCACCGTGCGATCTAAGGCACCCAATTCAGCCATATGTTGAATACAATATCGTTTCAAGGCAATATCAGTCGTATGCTGAGAAACAATGCTCATGACTTGACTGTCTTGCGGAGAATTGCGGATAGCTTGAACAATCGGAAAACTGAATTTGCCCTCTGTCAAATCTTCCGCGTAGCTTTTGGACTTGTAGTACTGGATACGATGTGCGTTTTGAGCCAGCCGGAAAGTAAGCGAGAAGAAAAGTTTACAAAAGAGTCGTGAAAATGGTATTGGTGATTGGCAAATTTCGATGAAAAAACGAGCAGGGTGGACGCACTACACAGGAGAAGAGTGAGCTGAGTAGAGTGACCGAGATGGTATACACGCACATAATAAATGAATGACCATTACAGAATATTCACTAAACTAATATTGTGTGGTTTGAATTCCGCTCATCCAACAACAATGGTACTGGGAAGCTAACACAGTCGGAGTGTGTATCCCAACAGATATGACTGAGTGTAAAAAACAAAACAAACTAGAATGCTTAGCGATCTAGGAAATGTTCACATATCACGATCCTAGAGAATTTTGGTGCCACTGTTATTATTATTATTATCAACACTAATCTTTACAGATACGGCGCCAAAGATAACCACCGGTGAACGTAAAAATATAGGTACAAAAACGGGGAAAATAAAACAATCAACTTCGAGGAGTAAAAATATTTTTTGTTTGTTCACTGCACGCCATTTTGAGGTTTTTTGGTGCCACTGTAAGGGTGATAGAATGCAAAAACACCGGTTGTAAAAGCGATATGAGGAAAATAAGCGTCAGTAGCAATCTGAAAATGAAACTAAACCAAACCATCTGTGTTTGATAAAATTACCTATGTGCTTTATCTTAATACTCGCCCAGTTCAGGAATGTGATGTGTATACCCTGGCACAGTGATTGGCCCGGAGTAAAGTTTTAATCAGTCTCAATGAGAGCATACAGATAAGGAAAGAAACCATCGTAGACTGCACACATCAGGTGGAAGAATCGAATTTAGCTTAACCAGGAATCATGAACTAATGCGATGCACGGTTGTCGATTTTGAAGAACTGATAGGACGGAGTCTGATATTTAAGTGAAGATGATTTTACGTTCACTGGTCCGTGACGGCTGTTGGATTCAATGAATAGAGTTTAATTCCCAGGGTGGAGACAGTACTAAAAGTAAAAACGATGGGTATAACGGCGGGACACAAACCCAGAACCTGAAGTGCGGATCATCGTAAGTAGAAACAACCCACTTACCATGGTATCAACCATGTTAGCATAGTCATCACGAATTTGGAACAACAACCCCAATGCGTCTATCAATGGTTTGAAATTTCTGAAAAGCACAGAAAAAGGTCAATCATGAGTTGTTGCTTTGAGCATATCGCTGGATATTGAAAGGGTTATGGAATCGGAAATGCATATTGAGAAAAACGGTTGCTTCGTGTCCAACTATCGCTCCTTATATATGAATCTTGGTTCGAATGGTATAAAACTCAATTGCATAATTCTGAATGAAGTTATTCTTGCATTACCGACCTGCTCGAATGAGATACTAAAGGAATTCAACAACATTCACCAATATACCAGTGGTATGGTGTAAATAGGCACGAACGACTCAGTCCCACTTATGCATATTCAAATCTCAGGCGGATGCCAAACGGATCTAACTTTCGAAATGTCCCCTGGGAAATCAACCTGAGTGACTTAAACAAAAGAAGAAACCGATACGCTACCCAGCTAAAAAAGCGCGACAAATCCAAACTCCGGATACTTTAACGGATGAAACGAAGTGAATGAGATACACCTTATGCTACCCCCCACAGTTCCAGCGATAGGCACTACACCTGAGTTGTACTGCTGTAGATACAGTTAGTAATCGCCCATTATAAATAATTTCTACAGATTTTTGGGTAGTTTGGGCCAAGCAGCAACGAAATCAAAGATTGGATAAAGTTTCAGTTTCGCGATACTCCGTAGTCTTTCATCTAATCATTCATACAGTTGAACCCTGGATGTATATTTGCGTCACATATTAAGGACTTACGCTTTATTATCAGAGAATAATTGCATCAAACGCACGGCGAGGCCAAAAAGACCACCCGTTTCTGGAAAAAATTATGGAAGAGAAGCACCGTACAGATAGAATTTGACAACATGGTAACAAATATTTTCAAAAGTTACAAGCTACCAGAAATACAAAATGTAACTTTCACTTGTCATTTCTCATACGGAATTAACTGGTAGTCATTCAAAACCAGAAAATGTCATCGAAATTCGTCTTTTTCAGTTTCAAAAATAATTGATAAGAGTGCATCATAGAATTCATGGCGTGAATTTCGCCACCCGAGGAAAACCCCACAGTAGCAGTGAAGAAACACAAAATGTGCAGTCGAATAGTCGGGGTATACAGGCTCATAAAAGTTGCGTATGTTTATAGAGTCAACCGACCACACACTTTCAAAAAGCATAGAATGCATTACGCAATTGTTGCACAAGTGTTAGAGAATAATTCTACTTACTGACTAGTGGGGATCGGAATGTTCAACCGACTTTCAAGGCTATTACCGATAAGCTCCCGGCCATGAAGTTTGATGCCTAAACTCTGACACCAACAAACTACTTTGGATGAGACAAAGACAAAGTAGGTGGACTTTCCTGGGGGACCTCACCACCGGAGCCGTTGGTTAGGCAAAGCCTGACCCGAAAGGCAGCCAGGTAGGGTGTGAAAGCCGTAATCCGTTTGGGGCCGGTATCCAGTTCCTCACATTATTTGAACTGGATGAAGTGAACATCGCAGGTGCCCAATGCACTTCGATGCACAATCAAGCCGGTGACCATTGCAACAGTCAGGAAGATATAGGCATGGTTCGTGCGGCTCTTCGTGGTCTGTATGAAATAAAATGTTTGACCAACTCCGTTCGGTGAACTGCCAGTGGTGCACCAACTCGGTCATAGCTCCGAATATGTTGGCTTTTCGTCGTCTCGCGTGAAGTTAGTAATTAGGGTTTCTTCTATACTGGATATTTGAGACGCTTGGTCGAGTAGGTGCACTTGGAGAGGCACAAGGAAAGGGTGATCACTCAAAATTAAGACGCTCACCCCCGACCGTAGTGAGGCTTTCCGCAAATGAATAGTAACTTATTGTAAACATCAGTTTCATCCATTCTGCTATTCCTTGTTGAACTTCTGCTTCAAGTTGGCTAAGTATCACCACTTGTACGTCCCCAGTGATCACCGTGTTGAATTCGAAAGTATAGTAGCATAATT